TAGAATCGATATCAGGCCAAACCGAAATGTTTTGGTAATCAAATCTACTCTTTTAAGCTTCAAAAAGATTGGGAATGAATATCCTTTAATTTCGTGACTATTCAAGGAGGTAAAAAAAAATACTTACTTCTCTAGAAATCTTCAAATCTTTGTTTTTCTCGAGTTTTTGCTCACTCCAAACTTCGCTAAAAATGTTTTTGGGAGCAAGAATGACCCCCAAAACCCTTTTCCCCCCTTTTTAGTGGTAAAAAGACGTTTTTACCCAATGACCGAGTGCCATTTTCTGCCAGGGTCGAGGCGGGGCCTAGGCACCCACCTTTATGCCGCCTAGGCAGGCGCCTTGAGCACCTAGGCGAGCACCTAGATGGACCCCCTAGAGTATGTTGCCATGTCCAAGACTAGGCGTTTTGGAAAAAAAGTTGCCTCGGTGGCAAGGCTGCCTAATTTCCTTCGTTGGACCCAAGAAATTGGAAGTGCACAGTTTTGGTATTTCTTGACCGTCAATCTTAACAATTTCCTCGCCTTTACTCATATTATTAGTAAATTTGCATTTCATATACTCTATCTAACACCAGCTAATTTTGAAAACATTTGGATTATATAATAATATACAAATTAACTATATGTATCATCATCATCATCATCATCATCATAGGCTTTTCAGAACTAATTGGGGTCAACTACACGAATCCTGCTCCGCCATTATGCTCTATTAAAGGACATACCCTCAATGAGGCCATAAGTCCTTATATCTTTTCGGACTACTTCCAACCACATCCTTTTGTGCCTACCCTCTGCCCTTTTCCTTCCTTCCACCTTAACTAACTCACACCTCCTAACATGCGTTGTACTGGGTCGGTACCACACATGGCCAGCCCATCTAACTCTACTCTCTCTCATATTATCGCCTATTGGTGCCACACCTAAATTTTCCATAATGAATTCATTTCGGATTCTATCCCTTCTTGCCTTGCCACTCATCCATCTCAACATCCTCATCTTTGCTACACTAGTTAGTATGTATAATCATTATAATTATTATATATATATAATTAATTAATGAGTAATGATCCTATAGGACCCTCCCCCACCCATGTGTGTAGGACCTTAAAGGATCACCATTAAAGTTGGCTCGAATTTTTAAAAAAGATATCACATGGGTGTGAGACTTGACTTTTCTATAGATTCGTACCAAATTTAATGGTGACCCTTTGGAGTCTTACACACATGGATGGGGGAGGGTCCTATAGGATCACTTCTCATAATTAATATGTTAATTATTTATTTTATAATACATGTTAATTAGTATAATTTATAACTCATAATATAAAGTATTATAATTATTACAGCTCTAGGGTTTGAGGTCCTTTTCTTGGGGGGACCTCAACCTACTCTATAAAACACAGCTTATCACAAGTTTTTGGGGCCTGTGGCTCTCTTTCAATCTCCCAAAAATGTTGATCCCACCTATTTGGTTTTATTTTCAGCATGGCAAATAGGATCACAATGTGCTATTTGTTAGGTAATCAGGTGTGGGGTGTACTAAGTCCTAAAAGGGTGACCTTAGGGAAATTTAAGTAAGTCCTCCCAGTTATTTGGTTTTATTTTCAGTTATTTTTTGCTTGTTTATTTGAACTTCCAGGAAGATTGTTTGGGGCCTGTGGCTCTCTTTCAATCTCCCAAAAATATTGATCCCACCTATGTGGTTTTATTTTCAGCATGGCAAATAGGATCAGAGTGTGTTATTAGTTAGGTAATCAGGTATAGGGGTGTACAAAGTACTAAGTACTAAGTCCTAAAGGGTGACCCTAGGCAAATTTAAGTAAGTCCTCTCCGCTATTTGGTTTTATTTTCAGTTATTTTTTTGCTTGTTTATTTGAATTTCCAGGAAGATTGTTTGTACTCAAATTTATAGTCGAAGCTGTTTTTCCAATGCTGGATTGTGCCTATTCTCTGTGGCAGTAAAAGGAAAAACCCATGGTTTCATATAGTGTTTCAGTTCTTGTTTACAGCAATGTTTTGTTGCACTTGTAAGTGAAACTTCAGAGTTCATATAAATTAATAAAAGAATAGAGAAAATGTTTTTATTTTATTCCATAGAATTCCACATAGTTACCTACTTCATTCAATGGAGTAATAGTTGAGGAAACACCACACTAATAGTGAACCTAGAATTTCCTACTCTCAAAGTTCAGACAACAAAATCCCTTACAAATACATAAATTACATTAATAATAGCATGTTTGAAATTTTCAAAAAAGGACAGATTTGTAATTTTAAATTGCTTCTAAAATTGAGTCATCGTTCAAATGTCAAAGAAATATTTTTAAGTTTGAAAGTGAGTTTTAGAAGGATTTTGAAAAGACAAAAATACCCTTCCTCAAATACATGGACTATTTATGGTAAAAAGTTATTCTTTAATGACATTTTATTGTCATAAATTTTGGAATAGTAATTCTAAGTTCACCATTAATGTGGCATTTTCTAAAATAAATGCTATATATGGGGAGTAATCTCATGCAATAGTTCTATAATAAAACAATCTTAAAAAATCATTTTTAGGGCAATTTGTTCGACCACAATTTTAAATATACACTCTTTTCATTCTAATGTACAATTGCAATAAAGCAAAATTTGAAATCCAACCTAAAAAGTGTTTTTTAGCCCAATTAATACAGGTCGTCCATTTTAGTGAGATGCTTAGATCTAGGCCTTGGAAGGATCTTTTTTCTTTACAAATTTTTTAGATAGCTTTATTTTCACTAGATTAACAATGTATAAAAAGAAAAAAATGATTCGATTTCATAAAGGCCTAGATCTTGAAATTCACGAAATGGATGATCTAGATTCATTGTTTGAGGACACTCATTTTGATCATTTTTAGGTTGTAAAATTGAATTTTATCTTTTTTAGGATTGATTATTGAAATTAAGCTAGTGTGTGTGCAACATTTGGGGTCAGACAAATGCCACAACCTTTTTTTTTTTTTGGTGACATTGGGGATAGGACCCCGACCCTTGGTAGGAATTGAGCCTAGGACGTAGCGTTGCAAATCATCAAGTGCTAACCAATTAAGCCAGGCTCTTTTCCTTGCCACAAAAATGAGTTTTAAAAGTGTGGTTTCATTATATTACTATGACACAGTGACATGAGATCATCTCCCCCCCACCCCCCACACAGTGACATGAGATCATCTCCTCCCCCCCCTCCCCCACCGCCCACACACACACCAATACTAAAAAATTGAGATAGGCTCAGGACTCGGCGCAATTCGGGCAAGTTCTTTACAAGCACAAAAAGGCCTAAAATTGCAAAATAAAGCATCAAAATTTCCAAAAATAAAAAACGATCAGTAAAAACAAAAGCAGTTATAGAAAGCATTAAAAGTCCATAAGGATAGAAAGAAACATTAAAAAGATGGATTATGGAAATTTTTTATTTATAGATTGAAACAATTTCGAAAGATCCAACACAAGGAAAAATATATATTAATAAAAATTCACAAATCACAATAAATAAAAAAAATTATTATAGAAATATATTTATAAAGCATTTACTAGTGATTTAGTAACAAAAAATACTATAGAAATAATATCATTGCAAATCTGATTTCGTACACCAACACTTGCCTTTGCACCTTGTGGACGCAGTTGAGTCTTCAAACATTAACATCATTAGGAAGATTACTCCAAAGCCATGCTCACCACAAGAAAAGGATTTTATTGTTTAAAACTTTAAATAATTCATAGAATAGTAGAGAATTGTCAAGACCTCAGTTCAAAACTCAAGTGAATCATGAAATGTGAGATGCCCAAGATCCACTCAACCCAGCTCAACTTGAAAAGCTCTAGGATCAAGTCCCATATGACACTTTGAATGGAAAAAGCTTACCTAAGACTTGGCGGTGGAGGCCATGAATTGGTGAAATGAAACCTCATCATAACATGGAGTTTTTGAATCCTGCTGCTTACCAAACAAAAAAACAAAAAGCTAGACCTAAAGACTGGTTCACTTAGTTGACTCAAAAAGGAAAAAAGTTCCCTTGACTCAACTAAATCATTCACTTGACTCAGTCTAACCCTAACTAGACCAAGTCAATGAACTCAACAGAAATGAATTTGGATCCAACGGAAGGAATAAATAACACTGTCATGATTAATGGGACTGAATTCAGCAAAAACTCGTACGATCCAATAATTTAGTCCATTGTTATATATCAAAAAAAAGTTAATATAGTCCAGTATAATTGAATAAAAAATATGTTCAGTAAATCAGAAATATCACACTAAGCATCCAAGCTGGTGTCAGAGCATCACTCATAATAGAATAACCCGATAGTAAACATCAAGGGCAAAAAACCTTCAATTCAATGGGGACAATAAAACAAATAAATAACTCCTAGGACATCGTAATATTAGTTGCAGTCTATAAGTCAAAAATAAATTTGAAGGAAGAAAAGCTCATTTGCTTTCTCCATGTACAAACAAATTTTCTCATTGATCAGTTTAGGAAATAACAATACATCACCATGTTTTGAATATAACACTTCTTTTGAAAATTTACAAATTATTTTTCCATTGTCGATAGAAAGTTTTCAATACAGGCCATTAGAAGAAGTCTCTACACATTGTTTCATAAACAATGCATCAAAAAGGAAAAGTAATCAGGAAGCACAGAAATTTTTTTTTTTAGTAAGTGGAAGCATAGAAATATTAGTAAACAAATTAAAAGAAGATAACAAAATAGCACTCACAAGCCATAAAACTTGGGCCAATTCCATATTAATATATAACCATTATTGAAATGGTTATATATTATACATGCCAAAAAAGTCCCGCAAATGTTTTATAGTAGCTTAAAAATAAAAAAATAAAAATAAACACATGCCAAATTATAACTAAAAGAAAACTCCTAAGCTTTGAATATAAGAGTGAAAACAAATAAGACAGAACACGGAAAGGAGGAAACGCCATTCAACCATAATGAGGAACAAAAGTTACCTTTGGGTTGGCTTCTGTCTTCAATATTGGTGCTTGGAAAAGATCCAATGGATTGATTGTTTCCCAATTTTGATATGCAGGTGGAAAATCCACACTAAGAAGGATAAGAAAGAAATAAAACCCATTTAGAATTTCATAATAGTGAAGATTTCAGAAGTCATTAAGCTGAGAGAGGGGAAACAACTGAACATTGAAACTATTCTATACAGCCAACAGAAAATGGAAATAGAAAAATGTTGCCAAGATAACATTCTATAGAACAGAAGCTTTGTAATAAAATACACTGTTCAGAAATTAGGCTCAGGCTCGGGACTCCACCCCTGCCCCTTTTGAGTTAATTCGGTGAGTTCAAGTAATAGCCCGAATCATGCCCGAGTCCACAAAAAGCTGGAGAAAAATAAACAAATTGGAAAAGATCGCCATAAATCAGAAAAATATAAATAGCTAAAAATTAATAGGATTAAGAAAAATTTAGGTTTAGGCTTCTATTTTCATCAAAGATTGACTATCTATTTTGAAGCATCAAAATTTTCAAAATCGGGTTAAAAACTTGCAGAAACCTTTGATCTACAAAATCCATGGAAGCTAGTTATCTTTCCTGAAATCTAAGTAGATCTAGTGAAAATCTAGCTTAAGGTTGAAATTCCCCCCCCCCCCTCCCCCCCCCCTTCTAAACGTGTGATCTCCCCCAATGTTGGCAAGGATACTTGCCTCGGCACCTGCAAAGGCCAAGTAACTCAGCTGAGTCTAGCTGAGTCCAAGTTGACCCAGTCGAGTCCTCGAACATTTATGAAAAAGCACCCCTCCCTATCTCAGTTCCTCTGTGTTGTTTCCTTTCTTTTTCTCCTCTGTTTCTCTCTGATTAACCACGGCTACTCGAGAATTTTACCAAGACTGGTACAAGAAAGTGTGAATGTAAAACCTAAAATTCCTCTATGATGACATGGATCGGACGATGTTGCAATACTTACACCTACTCTCACTTCTTTCTAAGTCCTCCTTTTGCAACCCATGGAAACCATGTTTGTATATTCATCTTCTATGTCAAACCAGACTTGTAGCAAATACGAAGCTTATAAACAAATTAGCCAAACCATCCATCTTCATCCCTCTCTGTCTCGGCTGAAACCAAGTCAAACTCCAGCCAAGGATGAACGAAACCAATAAGATTTAGCATCCCAGGGCGAGTCAAGACTCAGCAAGTCCACTCAACGCTAGCCGAGCTGACTCCCCTTGCACACCACCCGAGCCCCATGGACACAGTCCAAGAGAGACCAAGAAAACGCATTAGGATAACAAGCAATCCAAATGTCTGGAAAGCCAGCAAAGACTTTATCCATATTTTCAAATTTCTGAGTATTCAAAATTATATTTTAGGAAACTAGCTCTATGTTTCACTAAATCATTCAAATAACACCATATAAGTGCTCCTTTTAAATAACTAATAATTAATGTTATTCACTGCAGTAACTCCAGAATAAATCAAGTACAACAATAAGAGAGAAAAATAAAAAAATCAAAAAATCAAAAGTAAGGACAGAGTACAGACAACTTTCTAACGTAGCACCAACCCCCAGCAGCTCAAAGAAAAAAAGTATAAATTTACGGAATCAATTCATTAATGAGTATGAGAGACTTGCAAGACCTGAAGACATGCCCTATTACAGATGTCACTTTATAATGCACATTGAATCCCTGAAACAATCCATCGAACTCATGAACGTCTGTGCTAGCCCTTCGAGTTGACATCTGCAATAAGAAAAACACAGAAAATTTAGCCACAGATTCCAATTGAATTAGACAAGAATGGGATGCTCACTTCATAAGAACTCCATAAAAAATATAAATACAGAAAAACGACATCAAACGACTTTCCATCCTCCCAAATGCTAGTACAAGGTAACAAAGAAAAAGAGCCAGAAACCCTTAATCGCAGTTCTAGAATTTTCTAATAAGCAACAGGGTGAGTTAAATGCTTAAGATGTAGAAAATTGAAAACACAGAAGCACTGAAGAATTTGGGCTTACGCAGCCAGATGAGAGAACCGAGGCAATGGAGAAAGCAATGCTTGGTTTCTCTGCAACCTGAGTATGAAATTCAGGTATATCGATCAGAAATCTACTGATTCTAAAACAGTGATGAATGTCTGCATGTGTAAGAAATTAGATGCGGTTACCATGAGCACGTTTGGATCCATCGGATCATGAATTCAAGCGTAAACTAATGCAAAGAGGGCCTTCTTCCTCACCAGCGATGAAGAGAAACGGTATAGGATCAAACGCAAAGAAGGGACTGGAATTTACATTTATGAAATTTGCCGCCTATTTCTCTTCTTCTACGAGCATTCACTCCCTAGAGCACTCGCCCTGTAAATACTTGTTTCTTTATTTTTTCTGGTCTCAGAGCGGCGTGCTATACTTGTAGGAGCACAGTGTCTTTACTCCAAGGGCTGTTTGATAACTAGACGCAAATTTATGAATTGGAAATCGGAAGTTCTTAAGTTATGTGAACTTAAAAGTTTTTGGTTTCGGTAACCTCTCTGGAAAGTTAAGAAGTTCATAGTTTCTATGTTTGAAAACTTCCTGAAAAGTTAAGAACTTGGTTTCTGTGTTTGATAACATCTTTACTCCCTAGAGCACTCGCATTGTAAATACTTGTTTCTTTATTTTTTCAAGTCAAAAGCGTTATGCTATACTTGTAGGAGCATAGTGTATTTCCTCTAAGAGCCTGTTTGATATCTGGAAGCAAGTTCATGAACTGTAAATTAGAAGTTCTTAAGTTCTGTGAACTTAAAAAAGTTCTTGATTTCTGTGTTTGTTAACCTCTCTGAGAAGTTAAGAAGTTCTTGGTTTCTGTGTTTGATAACCTCTTGGGAAGTTAAAAAGTTCTTGGTTTTTGTGTTTGATAACCTCCTGAGAAGTTAAAGAAGAACTTGGTATTTGTATTGGATTAGAGAAAATACTGGTTTTCATCTCATTGGCAAGAGTTACATTTTTCATATGTCAACCACTAACACCACATGATAAAAATGCATTTTGGTTTCCATGATAAATTTTCACGCAAAAATTAAAGTAGTCTATCTACAATGTTCCATGATAAACTTCCACACAAATGTTCCATGCTAAACTTCATTGCACCTCAAAATTAAAGCTGTCTATAGAAAATGTCAAGCAGTACGAAATCAACCCATTTAATAATAACTTGAGCACTACTTATATTCAGTACTGATGCATATGTATCAAGCAACATTCACAATTCATGCATCCATAAAAAAAACTATGTATAAAACCAGCCCATTCAATAATAACCTATAATAGTTTAAACGTACACAATTCAAAATGTAATAGAATGAACATAACATAAAAAGTTCACATGAAATGCATAACAATGTTTAATTACAAGTGCTAGCGACTTATGTAGGCCTCCCACAATTGTGTCGCTATGGCATCTCGCAGATTGACGCCAACGTCATGATCAACGTGCCCCTGAGTCAATTGCGAAAAATCATCATCTCCATCAATTATTACTAGTTGACTCTCAACCCTCCTTCGAAAACACAACTCTCTTCTACTATCGACTCCCCGAGTCATCATGATGTAATTGTGCAATATTGCACATGCAATAACTACATCAACTTGTATTCGTAAATGATACTGCATTTGATCTTTGAGTACAGGAAATCTAGCCTTCCAAAGTCCAAATGTCCTCTCCACCATATTTCTAAGCGTGGAATGCCGCTTGTTGAATAACTCCTGGTGATTCTGAGGAGCTCATGGGCCTGAAGTAAATTCGTTTAGATGGTAACGGACTCTTCAATATGGCCCTGTGAAACCACGCATAGTAGGATACCCACCATCTACAAGGTAATATTTTCCTTGTGCAATGAGTATATTATAAGGCCAAATATTACACTAGAAATATTGTACAAATCGAAGCAACAAAACATAGGAAAAAATGGAGTTACCCTCAAGCACTGCAAGCCTACTGCCTTCATTACTAATTGTGTCATATAGGACTTTCGATTTGGGGTTCTCATTTTTATCAAACACGAAAAGTTTAGAAGTTCTCAACTTCCAGAAGCCACTTCCTACTATCAAATACGCCCCAATAGTAATTTTTTCAAGGATGAAGTTTCTATAAGGTCTAGGCTCTATAAAATCCAAATAAAGCTTCACCTTAAATCCTCGCTTATGATGGCTCTAAAATCAATTTTCAATACCAAAAATAAACTTTTAAAACTCAACTAATTTTTGGGGAAAATAAACGGTCTAGATAATTTGTTAAAATATCAACTATTTTTTAGAGTTTGAAGTCCTAATTTCTTTCACAACCATAATTTTCAAGTTAAGATAATCGATGTAAATGTTTTCCAATGCTTGAATTACAATTTTCAATGAGTCTTTCGGTGAGCCTTTACTTATTTTGATAGGATTGCTGCCCTATCAAACCATTTTCCTTTTTTCAAATTGAAGCTTTATGAATCATATAAGAATCACTAGATAATTATTTTTCAAAGGAACTTTGATTTTGAGTTTTATAATACTTAGATCTCACTCCCTAAAAATTTGAATAGACTATTTAATCTTAAAACATTGTTCGTTTCAAGTATATATAGTGTGTAATTTGGAAATTTTTTCTATTGAGGTGAATATATGGGTCTAAGACATTACATCCCAAAATTTGGCATGCTACAAATGCTCCTAATTTGGGTTTTACCCGAGGAATCAATGGACAATATGCTCCTGTGGGAGCATGAAATCTTTTTACTTTGTTATTAAATAAAGAGAATTTTTGTGTAGATATTTTGTTATAGCTAATCATTATCATCATTGTCCAAACCTTTTTTTAATTAATTCGGGTTAGCTACACGAATCCTGATCCGTCATTTTGCTCTAATATGGGTCATACCCTCAGTGAGATCATAAGTCCACACATTTTTTCTCACTACTTCCAATCATGTCTTTTTGGGCCTACCCCTTGCCATTTTTGAGCCTTTTACTTAAACTAACTCGCACATCCTAATAAGTGATGTATTGGGTCTACGCTACACATTGTCAGCCCACCCAAGTCTACTTTATCTCATCTTATCGCCTATTGGTGCATACCTAAATTCTCCTGAATGTGTATTATAGCTAGTATTCTTCTAATTTTTAAAGTTTCTTAAGCAGATACCCATTTTTCCCTCTCTTTTTATACCCAATTTGTTGGCCTTAGATTTTTCTTCACAGGTTTGGCACAAGAAAACCCTCTTCTCAAAACCGTCATGCCCTCCCACTTGTTTTTAGAGAGAGGAAGAGTAGAGGGCTCGCGTTTGTGTTTTGCACTTCCCTTTTCGGTTCACCCACATGTGCGTGTGAGGATGACTCATATACCCGCTAGGATAAGGGTCAAACGGTGCGGTGTGTGTGTGGTGCGAACCAACAAAAAAAGGAGCACGAGGTAAGGCTTACCTTGCTTAAAGGGGATTGAGATGCACTAGGGCTCTAAGCCCTCTTTAGTTAGAAAGGCACACCCCTCGCCCCACCCCCGTTCCGCCCCCTCTCAGCCTCTGAGGCCTGATCTGGCTTCGGCTCCCTTGCGAACTTTGGACAACTTTGAACCCATTAAATGAAATAGCTTGAAGACTCGTCCCTTGTGCTACCTTTCTTAATGTGGTTTTAAAGGTGAAAATAGAAGAAGAGAGAGATAGAATATAGGGAGATAGAGTAGAGAAAGAGAAGAGAGAGAAGATTACTCAAAAATTGGGCAGCCTTCCGGCTTCACCTTTGCAAAGAGGTATTTAATGGGAGACGGAAAAGGTATCGGGCTCAAGGCATTGGTACCTTGGTGGATTCACAAGAAAGTATACTGAAAGGATAAATCTGACCTCGATGAGTCTCGGAAGAGCCTCCTAGAGGTTGATAGAAAGATAAGAGAGAGAAAAAAATAGGAAGAAGAAGAGAAGAAGAAGAGAGGAGGAGAGAAGAAGCAAAGAAGAGAAGAAAAGAAGAGAGGAAGAGAAGGAGAGACGAAGAAGAAGGAAGAATAATAAGAAGAAGAGAAGGGAACCAAACTCGAGGGAGTATCTTAAGTTCAAGGGCACGGGACGAACCCAGTCACAGCCTCAGAAACGTCCCACAAAGAATGGTCTGAGAGTGAGAAATATAGAGGATGAAGGGAGAGAAGAGAAGTGGAATAGAAGAAGATGACAAGAGAAGATGAAGAGAAGGGAAATGTTTGAAGACATTTTTCAGCACCTTGGGTCCCCGATGCGGAATAAAGAGGAAGCCTGTCAATAAAGCCTGAATTACAGTGGCATTTTCGACAGTCTCAGAATTACTCCAGAACAAGTGGAAGTGTTCATAAGGACTTCAAAAGGCCACCTGCCAAGTTTCGTCGCAATTCGACATGTTTAAGGTAGTGCAGACAAACAATTTCGAAAAAATGAATCTCTCGTACCTTGAAATGGACCCCATAACTAGAACTATATGTTTGACGGGTCAAATTGCTGTGGGACCATTGCCATTAGATCCGGCACAGTAAAAAACCCCCCAAGGGTCAAGTTTTGGCATAATCAAACGTCCCAAGACAAAGTTATGGGCGAAACATTAAAAAGGGGTGGGCCGCATGCTATTCCTGTGCGGCCTCCCTGCACCAAATCACCATTAATGGTGGTTGTTTTTACAGTTTCGGGTAGGGACTTATAGGCATTATATCTCACTCGTCTCGAGTCGAATCGTGCTCAAATTTTATGCGTGTGTTCGTCTCGTTAAGACGAGTGTTTCGATATGTGGCACGCTCGTGACGACGTCCAAGCAAGGAGAAAAGCTAGAGAGAAGTTGTTGATTCATGAAGAAGTTACAGAAAAAACAACAGCGACATGCCTTGCTCGAGTGGGGATATCACAGCGCTCGCGCATTGGATTAACACCAGACCAGATCCATCGTGTGCGTAAGTTCCACGGCTACCATTGGTCTGAACCCTGTGCATTATGAACGGTCGGATTTCACACACAAAACTGTGGTAAATTTTGGCATTGGAATTCTAAATTTTGGCACCGAAATTTTAGATTCCGGTCAAAAACTCAATACTGCAAAATCTTCGTCCATGCACGAATCGAGCTGTGTTTATTGCCACGCGATCGTGACGACATGCTTACTGTAATACAATGAAAAAATTATGTAAAAACATCAAGAAACGAGCACACTATCGATCCAAAGTTTTCAAGATTTGCATGAATTTTGAATCTCATGATCGTAGCTTAAAAACACAACCTGTGGCTCGAAGTTGGTATCAAATCGATCACCATGACGAGCCCAACAAGAAAGCAATCATCTTTTTGTCATGGGCATCAGAGCAACTCCGGATCATCCATGGAAGATCACACACGTTATAGGGCAGCAGCAGGGACTGTTTTGAAATTCTATGAATTGTTAGGCAGGGGCAAAACAATCATTTTGCACCCA